GAAAAAAAAAAGAAAAGAAAAAAAACGTGGAAATAGAAAGAAGAAAAAAAAAGTTGTGCAGAAAACGAAAAAAGAGGTTGAAAAGAAGTAAGAATGAGCTCACATGTGTTGGTTGTTGAAGAAGGGTCCAAAAATGTGAATCTGACCCTAAAAGTTGTATAAATCTTCCCTTTATGTTTAAAGTTGGTTGCTGCAATCAAAAGTTGAATTCTAAGTGTTGATTTCATTATGTTGCTTACTATTACTTTAAGAACCTTTGTTTATCCTTAACCTTTCTTTGTTTGCCAATATCTTAGCCCCGTTACAACCCATAGACTTCTATCTTGATTGTTATGTGTTTCAATATGTGGAGTTTGAAATTGGTACGAGCATATGGTATCCCTGGTTGTCGCTTATAAGTAGTGGCATTCCATTCATGAGATCCTACACATGTTGTATTAATAATTCCAGAAAGTGCCTTCTTTGTTATAACATATGTGAGTACTAGTCTACATGTTTACTCAATCTTCTCACATATACTTAGTGTAGGGAGTGTAGTCAGAAAATCTATGTGAAAATAGAGAGTATATTTGGTGAGGAATTGAGTGGAATCGCTAAGGCATGTTACTACATTCAAAATGTTGTTTTAATTGATTAAATGCGAGCTAGTGAGTGGTGATTGCGGTTAAGTGTATACTCAAGAGTAAGGATGGCTAAAATCTATGTGGGTAGTGATTTTTAACATGTCATGTTTCATTGGAAATCCCTGAGGCAATTGTTGGAAGGTTTATGTTTTATTTTGTCTTCTTTGTTTTGCTCGGGGACTAGCAAGAGCTAAGTGTGGGGGAATTTGATAGGAGCATATTTATGCAACTTTGTTAGCTTGTTTCTTTGTATTTAGTGAGTTAGTTTCTATTTATTACAGTGATTTAGTTGATTTTCGTATTATTGTAGGTCCAATTGGTGAAAATGACAATAAAGGGCTAAATGGAGCGTTTTGGAGCAGTTTTGGACTTGGATTGGATAGCATGTGTATGGAGCATAATGGATGGACGTTTTTGGTGACAAATGATGCTAAAAATGTGCTACAAATCTAGAAGAATTAAATTAAGGCTTGGAAGACAAGGAATCAGCTGAAAACAAGGAGAATTTATCCCATCATATCCTATCTTATCTAGTTTATCTTATCTTTATCCAACCTTATCCAAACTAATCTTATCTTATCTTATCCTATCCTAATCCTACCTTACCTTATCTCCAGCTACAAGGGGGATTCCTTATCATATTAAACCACCTCTTATCTGATTTCTAGGAGTCCTAAAATGATGCTAAGAACAAATCCTTTTCCTCCACAAACAATGCCTTGTATTTGCCCTATAAATGCACACCCTTGTTGCAGAATTCAGAGAGAGTTTTAGAGAGAAAAATATAGAGAATAAACACATAGTGCCGCAACTTGCAAGGAAGGAGAGCTTAGAGCCGTGCCTGCCATCCAAGGCATTTGGATTGCTGGAGCGTTTCTAGGTGCATTCTATCCTGAATTTAGTTCAATGTTTGTTTTAATTTGGTTTTCAGTTATGATAGACATGTGGAACTAATTTCGTTTTAGCTAGAGGTGAATTCAAAGCCATGAACATATGTGTGATATGAATTGATTACATCTAGTAATTGTTTCATAAATCGTGAATGTAATTTATTTATCTGTTTGATTGATAACTTATTCTTGTATGTTGATGAAGGAGACCTACTTAGTTTGCATGCATGAATTTGATGCTAAAAGATAAAAGAATTTCACCTAATAGTTATGAACTTATATTTATAAGTAGTGGAAATCACTAGTCATGATTGTGTTAAATAAGTTCCTGGCAGGAGTATCATGCTTTTCATAGTTACGAATGCCATGTCAATGCTTATGATTTTCATAGAACTTAATGATCTTTGATATGTATCTCTATCATGCAGTTCATATAGGGAACTTGATAAGAATAATTTGATTGCATCGCTGAGTCCAATTCAATGAATTTAAGAAAATCTGATGGTTAATTTGTGCAGTTCACGGATAACTTGGGGCATTGTCATTCATGGTTTGTAGGAATAGTAATTGGAGATCGATTTGTGTTGCATATGTGCCATGTGTGGAGAAGGACCCTCTAACTAGCCTTTCACCCCCTTCATTCACCCCAATTTAGTATCAATTACTTTCTTTCTGCAACCTACTTAGTTTTAGTTTTAAATTTTGTCCAAACCAAACCCCCCACCATTGTATCATGTTAGTTTAGTTTTAAAATTTGTTCAAGCATGTCCCTCGTTAGTATTTTGAGTCAAGTTAAGTCTAGAATTTGTCCAAATCATCCTTTAGTTCTTATTTTGAGTCAATTTGTTTGTTTTGCGCTGTTTTGAGTCAGTCTGGTCAGTTTTGAGTCATTAGAGTTTAGTTTTGTGTTTTTAAGTCTAATTTGCGTTGATTAGCATCCCTTCTAATCCCCGCCTAGAACGATCCCTACTTATTTATACTAAAATTGTCTAAAAAGGGTTTATTTTGTGTGTTAGTTTCTACCACATCAATTTTCAAAGAAAGAAAGGAAGAACATGTGACATGGCTATAAAATTGGACCTGGAGAAAGCTTATGATATGCTAAACTGGGATTTCATCATATGACATTCTTAAGTATGGCTTTAGTATATGGTGGGTGAACGTGATTATGATGAAAACGTTAAAGGCGCAAACAGAAGAGAGAGATTAATGGAAATCATGGCAATTGTTGGAATGATGGTGATGATGATGGCATGTTCTTCTGCAAGTCATGCAGTTGTCTTTTTCACACTCTGAAATTGCAGCTGCACCCTACTTCTATTGCAGCAAGCCCCAATTAGGGTTAAATCTCTTTCGCTTCCTTGCTTTATTTTGACTCCAAAGACACCCAAGTAAACGCAACTAAAATAAGTGAATATATTTTGAGCCCATATGGTCAGCGCATGTGTAATATATATCAATAGCATCGACTTGTAACTCGAAAGTATTTCCGTTGTACAAGTCAATCACGTCTTATACCATAGTGTCATCACAAACTCGCATAAAATCTCTGAATGTGTAATAGTCACCAAAAATTCAATAATTTCTTCTTTAGACCTTAGAATCACATACTGTAAAATTCTTCTTAAACTAGACATCCAGAGCTTTCCATCCATATATGCCTCACTACCTGGTTCTTGCTGATATGTTCTCCACGAATTATTCTAGTTGACGTATATGCACAACCGTATTCATCACTTGACTAGACTTGCATTCAATATCTTCAAAAATTCTTCCTTTATCTCCTTTTGTACCAATGAACCTACAAAATACAAAAATAATGTAAATGACTCAAAAACAAAAAAAACTAAGCAACAAAGATTAGAAAAAACTTACAAAAATAATGACCTTATTAGGTGCTAGAAATATTTTGGGGATACTTAATGTTTTTGCTAAAGTTTTGGGCAACAGATTAATTTATATATATATCTTCGCTGTATTTCTCAAATAATACTAGTTCGCAGTTAAGGAATGATATTGTTGGGATTCTACATATTCCACATAAAAGAACTATTGGAAATACTTGAAATTCATAACATTGTTTTCTATAAGGATCATGTTAGTAGGAGTGAGTTACTAAGAAGGGTTGAACAATAGTTAGCTGGGTGGAGGGCTAATACCTTTTCTAACACATGTAAACTTACATTTGTTCAGTCTAACCTTTCTAGTATGCCAAATCATGTTATGTCTTGTTTTAAGCCTCCAAACAGATTAACAGATTTACTGCTAGGTTGAATCGAAAGTGTGAAAATTTCTTTTCGGGAAAGGAGAAAAAAAATGAACCTAGTTACCTGGAAGGATGTTTGTTCTTCCAAGCAGTCTGGGGATTTAGGGATAAGGAGATTAAATCATTTTAATAACGCTTGTTTAGCTAAATTAGGCTAGAAAGTGTTGACAAATAATGGTAGTTGGTGGGTTCAAATTGTTAAGAAGAAGCACCTAAAACAGAAAAATTTCTTAGAAAGTAAAGCAAAATCATTCTTTGGCCTAGAAAGGTAGTTTTAGTGTAGAAACATATTTCTCAAAGGGATGAGAAGAGTTGTGGGTGATGGCAGTGACATTTTGTTCTTGACTCATCATTGGGTTTCTCCTGACCCACTATTACATTTAATCCCTGAAAACCAAAGACATTTACTTGATTGGAATCTAAAAGTGTTGGGGCTTAAAAAGACTTCACTACTTTGGAGATATTTATCCGACAAAGAAGAATGTAATGCAGCGGAATTGATAGGCAAGAGAAAGAAAGAATATTCAAAGTATTACACAAGATTTTTATTCACTCACAAACTAGTACAAGAGGAAACACTCAAACACTCTTCGAAGCTTTGTTGCTTCTTCTCACTTCTCACTACTTGCTCTCTTGGTTGTTACATCACATAGCTTAGCACCTTACCTATTTATAGGCAAGGTTTGCCAAATTTGGCATTGCTAGAACTTTCTAGCTAATGCTTAACAACCACACATTTTTAGAAGATTCTAGATCTTTCTACAACAAGCCGTAGATATTTATGCATGCATTCCACCAACTTGAACTTTGCTAGAACTCTCTAGCATGTGCATGAATCTTTCTTTGTGTATGGGCAGGATCAATTGTCTTGGGCCAAGACAAGATTACAATTCAACATCCCCCCTTAATCTTGTCTTGTGACACCGATTGAGTTCCTCAGTGTAATAAAGTCTTCTTGTTTGAGTGGCTTAGTGAATATGTCCATAATTTAGTCTTAAGACTTCACGTATTCCACTTGCACATCCTTTCTTGCAATGCACTATCTTATGTAGTGATAACGAGTATCTATGTGCTTGCTCCTGTCATGGAACACTGGATTCTTTGCTAGAGCTATTGTAGACTTATTGTCGGCATAGATCTCTGTTGGTTCTTCTTGTGGCATGCTTAATTCTTTTAGCAAGTTTCTTAGCCAATTTGCATGACAAACACATGAGGTGGCAGCTACGTATTCAGCTTTGCAGGTAGAAAGAATGACAATCGGTTGCTTCTTCGACATCCATGTGTGAATGCAGCGTCTCCCATAAAGAACACAAATCCAGTAGTGCTTTTTCTATCGTCGGAATCTCCTGCCCAATCACTGTCGCTATATCTAGCAAGTTTGTAGTTATCAGAACTTGAATAGAACAAGCCAAAGTTAACAGTAACTTTAAGGTATCGAAGAATTCTTTTGGTGGTCTTCAAATGTGTAGTTGTGGGATTCTCCATGTAGCGACTGACTAATCCGACGACATAGGGAATATCTGGTCTTATGCAAGTCAAGTAGCGTAAGCTTCCAACTAGACTTTTGAAAAATGTTGGATCTACGCTTTCTCCTTTGTCATGCTTGGTTAGTTTGACTCTGCACTCTACTGGCATGCTTATGGGCTTGCAATAATCCATTTTGAACTTTTTCACTATCTCCTATGTGTAGCTTTCTTGGAAGATGAAAATGCCTTCTTCGTTCTGCTTGACTTCAATGCCTAGGTAGTATGCCATTAGCTCGATGTTTATCATCTCGAATTCTTTGGTCATCATGCTCTTGAACTCTTCAAACATGTTTGGATTATTTCTTGTGAAGATTAGATCATCCACATATAAACACACAATTAGAATATCTTCATTTTTTGACTTTGATGTAGAGAGCATGTTCATGAGGGCACTTGATGAAGTTGTTCTCCTGAAAGTACTTGTCGATGCAACTATTCCATGCTCGTGGCGATTGTTTTAACCCATAGAAGGCTTTCTTCATGCCCTTTGATTTCATAGCCTGACAGTTGCTAAATGTAAACTTCTTCTTCAAGGACTCCATTTAGGAAGGCGAACTTCACATCCATTTGTTGAATCTTCCAACTGTTTTGAGCTGCCAAAGAAATTAATAATCGTATAGTTTCCAACCGAGCAACGGGTGTAAATACCTCATCATCGTCGATTCCGGCTCTTTGACTATAGCCCTTTGCCACTAGTCTCACCTTGTCTCTTTCGACCTCTCCATTGGCATTTTTCTTTGTCTTGTACACCCACTTGACTCCAATGGCTTTGTGTCCTTTTGGAAGAATAGTGAGTTCCCATGTATCATTTTTCTAGATTGCTTCAATTTCTTCATCCATTGCTTTCCTCCACTTAGTATCTTGCACTGCTTTTTGGAAGTCAACTGGTTCATAATCAGCAAAAAGATAGAAAAGCATAGGATTATCAAGTCTTTTAACTACCTCATAAAGATCTCGTATACTTCTTGTACGTGGTACTTTTCTTTCATTTAGACTCCCACTTGACGATGCTGATGCTAATGAATTGCCATGATTGGTTGTTGTTGGTGAAGCAAGTGGAGTAGTGGATTCTTGTTGAACCTCTCTTGCTTGTACCATCATTCCTTGTTCATTCTCTTCTTCAAACTGAGGAAAGAAGCTGAGATCACTTGCATGAGAGCTAAAATCCCATTCTCCTTCTTCCATCGGACGTCATGTCTCAACTGATCACCATCTTCCCATTGTTCGGATTATATAGCTTATAGCCTTTTGAATTTGTGTCATAGCCAATGAAGATGAACTTTTCACTTTTGTTGTCGAGCTTGGTTATTCTCTCGTCTGGTACATGTACATGGGCTATGCTTCCAAAAACTCTTAGATGAGAGATACCTGGTTTTCTTCCACTCCATGCTTCTTGTGAAGTTTTTCCCCACACACTTCTTATTAGAGACTGATTGGATAGGTAGACAGTACATGCTACAACTTCTGCCGACAACTCCTTAGGCAATCTCTTACTTTTGAGCATGCTTCGAGCCATGTCGAGGATGGTTCGATTTTTTCTTTCCGCCACACCATTTTGTTAAGAGGATCTTGGAACTGTCAAAGGTTGACGAATTCCATTAGCTTCACAAAATTCTTGAAATTCCTTTGAAGTGAATTCTCCTTCTCGATTAGATCTCATGGCTTTGATCTTGCAACCACTTTCCTTTTCTACTGCATCTTTGAACTTCTTAAATGCTCCAAATACCTCTGATTTCTGCTTCAAGAAATACACCCAGGTTTTCCTTGAAAAATTATTAATGAAGAGAAGGAAATAATTATTTTTACCCAAAGAGCTTGGTTTTATTGGACCATACACATTGGTGTGAATAAGCTCGAGTGGCTTCTGGGCTCTTGTGGTCGACTCCTTTTGAAAGCTTTTCCTGAACTGTTTCCCAAGTAAACACTCTTCACAAACTTGATCATGGTGACTGATGCATGGTAAGCCTCTCACCATCTTTTTCTTGGACAATAACTCCAGTCCCCCAAAATTAAGATGCCCTAAACGAGGATGCCAAAGCCAAGATATGTCTTTGTAACAAATCTTGAGACATTTTGCAACATTGTTTTGAATGTTCATGGGAAACATCCTATTCTTTGACATTTTTACCTTGGCAATTAATCTTCCTTTGTCATATTTAAGAAAAAGGCTATAATTTTTCATATAAATATCATAACCTTTTTCTAAGAGTTGACCCAAACTCAAAATGTTGCTTTTCATAGTGGGCACGTAGTAGACATTTGAAATTATTTGGTGACCGCCATTTTTTTAGGGGAATAAGGATGTTACCTTTTCCTTTTACCGGTATTTTGGATTCGTCTCCAAAAGAAACGTTGCCACTTGTTGATTCATTGAGCTCTACGAACATGCTTCTTCTTCCACACATGTGGTTGCTGGCGCCGGTGTCAAGGTACCATGTATAGTCTTGGTTTCCATCATTGTTCTTGCATGCTAGTAGCACAATGTCATTCTCTTTTCTCTATTCTTTCACCTTCTCATCAGGTCTGTTGCTTGAAGCTCTACATTCCCAAGCATAATGCCTAAACTTTTAACAATTGTAGCATTGAACTTGAGATTTTTCAAACCTCAAGTTTGAGCGTCCTCTTCCACAACTTGTTGTTGAGATTCGTCCTCTTTCGTAGTAGCTATGGTTGTTGAAGTTTCAACCATGTCCATGTTGATAGGAGCATATTTATGCGCCTTAGTTAGCTAGTTCTTATGCATTTTTGTTATGTTTTCTTCGTTAAAGTAGTATTTTAAGCTACTTTCATGTGTTTTCAGGTTTAAAGGACATATTACATAAAATGATGCAATTTGGAGCTTTTGGAGCAAAACTGAGCTGGAATGTGGTGTATGCAAATAGAGCACGAGGAATGGACGTCCAAAACAATGCATCACACAATCTTCCTCCTAAGCCGTGCATCCCACCATTCATTCCATTATTTTTCAGTCACCATCTACCATTTTCTTTATTCCCCATTCATTCTTAAAACTGGTGGATCTTTCTCTCCAATTATTTATTCACAAACCGTAGCCCTACATACATATATTCCTCTGATTCATTCATACATTTACCACCACCATAACCTAATTCACAAAGTGCCGTAGCCACCATAAGCTAATATCCCATTTTCCATTCAAAATGTACATTCCACTAACCCCATTAATTCCACCACCATAACCTAATTTTTTCCCCATCATCCGTGCATAAACCATTCCCCTACCATACCAATCCAGCCATCTTCCATATACAATCCATCAATCCACCACCACACTTCCACATTCCATTTCAAACCTGCCGTAAGCCTTACCATCCAATCTCCCTGCCATTCTAACCATTTTCCACAAAATAACATCCAAATCATCCATTTAACCAATCTGTTGCAGAAGGAGAAGAGGAAAGAGGAGCTTCAACGCGCACAAATTCACGTGGATTCGTTGGGCGTTCTAGGTGTAATCAATCCTTTGTGCTTTATGTTTAAATTCATTTGTAATTTTCTTGTTGCGAACATGAGAGGCTAAATCCCCCTAGTTAGCTAGGGGGTGATTCGAAACCATGGTTATACTTGCAATATGAATTGATTACTTTTGGTTGGGATTTCATGAATGTTGGATTCAATTTGTTTAACCGTTTGATTGATAACTTATTTATGAATGTTTATTAAGAATGCGCGCTTAATTTTCATGCATAAATATGACGCTAGAATATAAGTGAATTTCACCTAATCGTTATGAACTTATATTCACAAGTAGTGGAGGTTGCTTATAAACAATCGCGTTAAATGAATTCTTGGCACGAGTATCATGCTTTTCATAGTTACAAATGCCTTGTCGATGCTTATAATTTCCAAAGAACGTAATGATTCTAACTTGTATCTTTATCATGCTGTTCATATAGAGAACTTGTTAGGAATAATTTGTTTGCGATGCATATTCATCCAATTCAATGATTCTAGGGAAATTTGAAGGTTAATTTAAGCGGACCTAATTAACTTGGGGCGTTGAGTTTCATAATTTATCGAAAGACCAACTGAGAATCAATTTTGTATGCAAGTATAACATGTGTGGAGATGAACCCCTTGGCTATTCCATCATCCATATTTTCATCTCATTCATATTTACGTTTTGCCTTTAATTACAATTTGTCCATTTAATTTAATATCGTCCAAACACAATCCCCCCTTTACTTTATTGTCAAATTAGTTAGAAATCAATTTAGTTTGTGTTTTTAAAGAATTTTGAGTCTTTTGGTTTGTCTTAATGTTTTAACGTTTAGTTTCACATTCTTTGAGTCTAGTTTAGTGTTTTATATTGTTTTTACGTTTTTGAGTCAAAAATCCAAGTGATTAACAATCCCTCCTAATCCCCGGTCCAGAACGATCCCTACTTATACTTATACTACAATTGTCAAAAAGAGGGTTTAATTTGTGCGTATAAATCTCGCATCAAATTTTGGCGCCGTTGCCGGGGATTAGCAACTTTGCTAATCCCTTGGTTCTTTTATTTTTGTTTAGTTTGTTTTCGTTTTAGTTTCTAACTTAGTTTTATTTTCTTTGTTTGATGTTACTTTTGATATTTGCTTTAGTTCTTTTTCTTTGATTTTAGGTGCTTGAGAAGTAAGACATGGACGTTGCTAGCATTCAAGCTCAATTGGCAAATCTTACTTCTCAATTGTCGCAGATTGCTGAAAGGACCACAATACAAAATGTCCCTACATTTAGTGCGTCTTATAGGCAAGGGTACCAAGCCAATCAATATCCACAAAGCGATTGGAGTGATCATTCAAACTCTATGTGGTGGAAAGCTCAACAAGTTCAACATGAAGCATATTGGCAGCCATATGAGGAGTTCTGTTCAAGACCTATGCAGCCGCCACAACCTTATATGCAATATGCTCAATCAAACTCAGGTTCGTCAATAGATTATAATCAAATTCTTAATGAATTAAACTCTTTGGTGCAGGGTTCACAAAATCAAGCTAAGGAGACTCACCAAGAAACATATTGGCAACCATATGAGGATTCATATGCACCACCACAGCCTTCCCCTCAATCTTCACATCCAAATTCAGGTATATCAAATTATTATAAGGAAGTTATTCAACAACTGAATTC